ATCTATAAACTATTGTCTGCCTGAACTGCTACAGACAGAAGGGTATAGTTTCTAGTTGTAGTAGAAATTATACTTACCTGTTTAATACCACTATAAACCTATAAAGTATCTCTGTAGCTATGTCATTGTTATAGTATTGCTATTAAGAAAGCCACAGTACTGTAATAGTAAACATCTAAATATTTCTAGTACCATAAAAATATACTTGCTATTAATAAAACTTTATATATATGAAACACTGAGAAGTGGGCATATAAACAACAAGTAGGCTGTACTTTTAAGTCAAGCTTTTAGTAAACTTCTTCGCATTTTCGATATCTAAACTAAAGGATATTTTGGAAGCAATGTCACTGTAGGTCTCTAAACAGGAATATTATATAGAAACTGAGAAACTGGACTATACAACTATAACTCTTACAAGAAGAATCTTATATACTTTTGTTAACCCACCACTTTTTTTCAAGAAATTTTTGTAAAAAGTGAGTATTTTAGTTTACTTCCTCCAAAAGATCGATATCATGTATATCAAAATAGTCTGTATTGTTTACTTTTTAAATTAGTACAACAAGACAACAAACATATCAGGGTACATGTCTCGAATACAACAATTTGATAAACAATACTCTAAGACTAGGATTGAGTACCAACTCTCTACGTTATATAGTTGAAAAAGTATTTTTTTACTGGTTTTAAGCTTCTATATACTATTTAGATAAATTTAGAGTAGGGACTATTTTATTTAATAGTATATAATTTTTACAAGTCTTTTATAGGCTTATAATAGTGATTGTTAGGATAGACAAATTTTTTTTTACTTTTTTCAATATTTTCTTATTTCTTTTTTTTTTTCTTGTTTGTATCTTTTATTATATTCTCTTTACCTCTGTTTTATTTTTTCTTTTATGTTTGTACTTTTATTAATTTGGCTTTTTAGATAAAACAATGCAGCTGCTAGGGCTAAAGATCAGAGTGTTCAAATTCTCAGTAAGTTGAGGATCCAATATGAAGCCAATTGCTACTAGGTGGGTCATTCTTTGAGTTTAACTTGAGTTGATCTTTACTCACATAGAATATAGTATAAAAAATTGTATCTTTTTGTTATTATAAGTTCTGGTACTTCTAAATAAAAAGTAATAGGCAGGACTGCTGAATTAAAAAAAATAAATAAATAAACTAAAATATCAATCTGAATAAAAATTATATTAATAGTATTTAATTTTGTTACATCTTAGTACAATAAATAACAAATAAAAAAAGTATTCACAGAAAATTAATTTTTGCTAATATAACACATATATAATATTAATTTAATATAAAAAAAAACTATAATTGCAAATAACAGATATTATTAATATAGTCTTTTCAAGTCAATAGCATAGTTTGTTTTCTTTGATATTATTTAATTTTATCAACTAACTCAAATCAGCAGATCAATAATTTTTTTACTGCTTTAATCTATTTTGTATTGCTAGCTAATTTTTGCTATTCTAAAAATACAAGTACTTTTTTGGTTTTTTCAATTAAATTATCTAATATTATATTATAATTTTCAAGTAATTCTTTGTAATCTTTAGTTAATTCAATTATTTCACTAGTAAATTTATTATTCACAACTTGCTTGACAGACTTGCTTTCTGTTAAATTTATTTAGATCAAAAAAAAAGATTAACAGATTCTTTTTATATTAAAAAAAAATTTTGTTATTATATTTGCCTTTTTATATACTAAATATTTATATAAATTAAACCAACTTGTTAAATAATAGTTGTATCTACAAGCCCATTGTTTTATATTTGTTGTATATGTATTATTGTTATTGATTAGTCATTTGGATAAACTTTTTCATTCATGTTTAAAGTCCTTAATCCAATTTAGTTTTTTTTTAGCCTATACAAATCTGGTTTAGCTTGCACTTTTGATATACAATAGCTTGTTTATTAATATATATGTGACAAGATCTATCTGTGAACAAAAAACTTTATACAAGAAGTTTTGTTTAATCATTTTCCAGTAACCCTCAATGAATATTATAGTATTCAATATGAAAATTATAATAACATCTAGCTATAATAATTTTTTTAAAATTTTTGAATCTATATGCTTAATATGACAATGCTTCTGATTAAACCGATATCTGGATATATCGATATCAGACAATTTCTCTGTTTTTGGAGAATGTTGATATAACCAGCGTGATGTATATTAAAAAAAAAATTAAATTTTGACCTATGAAATTTATATAGTTTTTTTTTGGTGCAGTATATGTAAAAAATACGAATGTTACATCAGATAGATGGGAGGATCATGTGACTGCATCTAATGTTACGTTGGATTTGTTGGATTTGCTGTTTTAGCAACAATTCTAAAATTCAATAAAAAAGGATTTGGATATAAATAGTGACATTTATACGTATAAGATACAGAATTCGGAGATTAGTCTTCAAAAATAATATGGAGTCTCAATTATTTACTGAATGTCATTATTATCGTTTTTCTTCTGGAGGAAGAACGTAATAACTTTTATTGATTATATTTTGAAAAGAGATGAAAATTTGGATTATCTAATAACTATATATTAATTGATAAGGAATATATATGGGTTGGCGTTGTTTGAGAGTTCAATGGAAAGCGGCCTTCCGGTCGACCCTGAATTTCCATCAAATGTTTTAAGGTCCTTTCCACAAGACATTTCGCATAAACCTCGAAATCAAAACAAATCAAGTTCGTTACTTAAAATTTCTGGAATTTATTATATATTGGATATTTCTTAAATTTTTCATATCGGATGCCACTGTATATAGAAGCGATAAAACACCTATTTGTAAGTTCGTTCTATGGTATAACATGTTTCGTTTCTGCTATGGGTTATTGGAATACTGTTGAACTTCCTTTAAATCAAGACATTGGTAATTTGTTGAAATTATTTATGTACTTTTATTTTTTGACCACGTATTTATCACGATACGGTTCGCTATTACCATAGGAGAAATAGTTTCAATGGATGTATTTTCTTCTGATCAATCAAATCTAATTTTTGCCTTGACGACAGTTCATGCAAGTATTTTCTAATAATGCACACGGGTTTAGATATAAATCCTTGTTACCTTAATTACTCTCTAACATTATTCATCATAGACCGAAGATGATGGTCAACACAACTTTACACTCCGGATTTATTCGTTGGATGATGCATCTCAAATATATATCGAAGAAGCAATATTTAGAATTGCGGGTATCTAAAATGATAGTTTGATGAATAGATGGAGTATTTAAGAATTGTTCTAGGATAATAAGAATCATTTAATAATTTAATAATATAGAGCAATGTCAAGTTATTAGGATTCCTTTTACACCAATGCAACTTTTTCATACCGGAATAAATACTAATGGGAAACCGAATATGTGTCTTCTTTTATGTGGAAACGATGGAGGTGTTCATCTCTATTTAAGAGTAAGATTAAAATACTTTGTTTTCTTCCTTTTATTATCGATATTTACCACAAATTCAATTATGAAAAAAAAAAGAATAAATCTACAAATAAATGGGAAGACGAATCCGTTCGTTCTTATTTTCCTTTGCTTGAGTCATTGTCTGAATTAAGCTTAAAGTAAGTTAGATCAAAAAGGAAATAATAGCTTGTGGTAATTTCATTTGCTAATTTTATTCATGTATTTTAAAGTATACTATCTTTAGAAATCCGAGAAATTGGAGATTTGAAAATAGTGGCTGCGGGATGTCAAAATGGAAGATTATACGTTTCAATCATGAAGTTTGATATCTCAGCTGGAGATTTTGGTAAAATATATACATATATTCTTTTTTAATGAAATGAACGTTTACTAAATAATTTGTATTGATAGTCCCAATTGACGAACCAGCTTTTGTTGTACTTTTTAGCCCAATAACCTCTATATCAGTATTCTCTTCATCTTCAAGTAAAAGTTAGCATCAATAGATATTATGAAAAAATTTATTTCCTATTCATTGTTTTAACATTATGTTATGTCATATATCCACAGACAGTCCGGGTGATATTCATATGCTAGTAACTTGTGCTGTCGAACAAGCAATAATTTATTGGTTTAATTTAAATTGCTATAATGGTAATTGTGTTTGTTTATTTGGTAAATACAATATTCATATGGTACATTTTTTACTTTCTGTAGCAATGTTGATAAATTAGCTTTGAACCGCCCAGTATACTTAAAAGAATGTTCTCAGTATGATAGCGTTCTTTGTTCTAATATAATGGATGTTGATTGGGATGGAAAAAATGAAATTCTTGTTGGTACATATGGAAGAGAATTGCTTGTTTACAAACAAGGTTGATATACTCTAAAATAATACGTAAATTTTTTTGCTTAACAAGAATTCGATTAATGTTAAACTCTTTTTTCAATTAGACATTGATAAACACAATGTATTGACTTTCAAATTAATATGGCAAAGATCATTTAGTCATCCAATTTATCAAATTGCAAATTTAGATTTAAATCAAGATAGTATTGAGGAATTAACCGTGGCTACTCAACATGGAATTCATATATTACAGGTAATTAACCTTGTAATTGGTTCAAAAAACCATTTGATTAGATTTTTTTAGTCAGAAATACTTATAAATTTATCATCAGCCAAACTTAGAAAAGGCAAAAACAGAATTATTTCAAGTATTGAAAAATCTTGAGAGTTTAAAAAAAGAACTAGATGAACTAAAAGAACAATTACCATAAATAAATATTTTTTTTTCAATAATCAATATGAACATTGTCTTCGAAAATTCACTACTATGTAGCGTTAATTTTATTAATCGTAATATAAATTAATTAAAGACAAAAATCCATCTATCTTATGTTTTAATTTACTTATTTAATCTAAATATTGGTTCAAATAATTTCAAAATCGCGTCCTGGAACACATGTTCAGAAAAATGTATAATTGCATGTTCTCTGGCGTTAATTTGTATATTTTTAAATTCATCATCTGGCAAAGAAAATACATTGAATAATTCGGTTGCAAATGTTTCAGGATCATTGGCGAGAAATCCTAATATGAAATAAGATCTTATAAATTTAAGTTTTTGAGAGTGAAGATAAACAAATACTATTACCTGTTTTTTGACCATTATATGAAATGACAATATCCATCTTAGGACCACCAGAATTGTGAGCAACAGTAATTATTCCAGCAGCCTATTAAAATTAATTTATTTATTCCAGCATATATAAAATCATTATATGTTGAGACAACCTTACCATATACTCGACCACGCCAATTCCAAAATGTTCATTCCACATAGTGTGTATTCCAACTTTAGCTTTTGAGAGCCAATCTACAAGAACTTGGAAACTGGCGTTGATTTCAAATTTCACATTATCCTACATTAATCAATCCTATTAAAATCATAATAATAATAATAATAATAATAATAATAATAATATAAAGTAAACATATACCACAATATCCAGTTCTTTACATTTTTCTTGCAATTTAGCAATCCTAGCATCATCACTTGCGTTACGAGAACTTCCTATTAGCACGAGTTCAACCTTTTCCCTACCTTTCCGGAGATTAGGATGATCCAATAGCAATCGATGTAATGATTGAAGTTGAAGCAGATGATCTTTTTCAGGCCTTTTCAAACATTAATGATAATCAATTACAATGAAATTATTATAAAAAAAAAAAGATAAACAAAAATCCTACCTAAACTGTGCGACACTAACAATAATTCTATGTCTTCCATCTAAAGGAAGTTTTGATAGAGCTGTAGTGTCACATGGTGGATAAACTATCTTGCTGTTTACACCCCAAAGTTTATCAATATGATCCTTAGTCCAACTTGAGTTGACCATTACTATATCAGCGAATGATCCTGCAAGTGAGTAAAGATATGCGAAAATTCTATAGTACCTGGATGCAAAAATGAAACATTCAATGCAATTAATCCTGAGAACAACAACATGCTATATATAAAGTAGTCATTATCTGAAGTTGTTACATTAGATGTCTGAAGTTGTATTTGACTGAAATTAAGCCCCTGAAGTTAGATCCTCATTCATTAAATAGTAATTTTAGTCAGGTGCTACTTTAGATATCCTAAGTAATAACTCCAAATAAATGGATACTTCAAGTACAACACATAATCAAATTACCATATTTTGCCAGTACTAAACACACGACTTTGAGCAATTAAATTATCGTTATTGAATCCTGGACGTCGTTCCTGTACTTTGTTAAGCATGTCTGAACTAATAATAAATCAACAGCTTAATAGGCATTTTAAGAGGTTTAAAACATCAGTTATACATAAGCCATCTAAATATTACACACCTTATAGTTGGATAATGTACGTAAGCGGCAACCTTGCATCCAAAGATCCTTTTAGCTAGAGGGTACGTAAACGCGTAACCCATTGTATCTAGATATATTCTGGTACATGTCAATATATATATGTTTTGCTTTAAAAGACGGTAAAATAAAGGGATCTACAGCAAAATCCAAACAAAATTGAGATAATGCGACTAAATTTGTCAGGATTTTTGATGGACCCCCAAACTCATACCAAAATAAATATCTGGCGTTAATTTCTTCAAAGCTTCGAATCCAAGAATTATGGAACCAAAGCTCTGACCCAATAAAGTAAATCTTGGGTATCTAAAGTAAATTAACAATGTAATTAATACAAAGTAGACTCTCTTTCTGAATTTTGGTGCAAAGACTTTTTAAGCTTTAATTTTATTTACCGACTATCCTCTACCCATTTACGATTATTCAGGAATACAAAGTCTATGGTGTCAGGATTAAGTTCGATACTTAATCGTGTCTAATCACAGCCCAATTTAATTATTAAAGAATTAAAAAAGGCATAATATATTTTTATGTGTAAAATTTTAATCACCTTAACATTTTCTAAGATTTCTTCTCTCGTTACATCTGTATCGCCGGTATACACAACACACATTACGTGCGAATAATTTTTTTGAATAGTATGGATTGTAGTCCAAAGAACACGTTCACCACCACCACCTGCATTACTATATTTTAGTTTAAATCAACAGCATGCAAACAATTAACATCAATGTAGTAGCAACCACTTAAATACTTAGCTGTTTTTTAAAATGCTTACCAGTACGGATGAAAAAATCCAAGTATCAAAAGAGAATTTTTCATCGAATCAGATTCGATAGAATCCAAGAATTCTTTTCGATTCTTTGCTGCGTAAAATGATGCTCTCCATTTTATGTTGCCGTAAATAATAAATAATACAGAAAATAATCCTATTACCAGAAGAATCAAATTAGATTGAGTAAACAATGTAAACATTCTTCTAGTTAATTACGAGTAAAAATTCGCGAAACGAAAGAAAGCCAAATATGTTGATCAGCTTTCAGGGGTACACAGGACCACGTTTTAATGCGTTATAGTTACACCAATTTGATAAACTCGGTTATCCCATAATAGCTAAACAAATAGATCATTAAGAGATTCCTCTTCAAATTTTACGCACAACTTGAAAAATTGCCAAGTCATCTGTCTTAAATCTAGTTTTTTCCAACTGGATGATTACGGTATGACTATACACTTCAAGTTAAGAAAAAATCTGATTACCATGACCACACCACACCATTTAATTTTCTTTTGGTAAATTTTCTGGTACTAAACGTGGTAAACATTTTGCTTAAAACGTTAAGTGAACGAACTTAATAGATCAAAAAAAAAAAAAAATTAGATTACTTGCATTCAAAACTTACGTATGTAAAGACAAAAATTTATATAAATAGATAACAGAAATAAAGTAAAAACTAAATAACATCGAAAAATTCCTCCCAATGTGTCTAGAATGAAGTGGCCATTGATTCTTTTTTTACGCATAAAGCTTTTAATCTATTTCCAGATTTCATATATCCATACGTTCAGATGTATCCATTCAATCATTGCGCGAACATTTTTTCAATTTATGTTGTCATTTTTATAAACTACTTTTGTGAGGCATCGTTGCATAGAGGTCTTCTGTTTGAAGGTAGTGTTCACAGAGTTCTCATGAGAACACTATTATAGATTTGTGCACAGTCTAAATTTTTTTACTGTTCACTATTAAAAATTTTTGAGAACAGTAAAATAATAATAGTATTCTTATAAGTATATAGTAAATGTCACGCTAAGCCAGAAGTTGATCGCAATATAATAATAATATTGATACGAAGTAGTTCGATAAATCAGATACTATTTTAAATATATCCATTTGTTAACATGTAAGTTATGATTAATTTATAATTACTTCGTATTTTTTGTGAACATAAAACAGTTTGAGAACATCAATTATTATTATATTGTTCTCATGGAACAATATTTGAGTCCGAAATTTCAAACATTGGTATGTGCGTTTCTCAAAGTTGGGTCTTTACTACTAAAAAGTTTGAATCTATTCAAAAGTTTATTTGGATCTAATATAATAAAGTAGTCTTAGAAGAGAACATCTGTCAGGAATGAGATTATTTTGCATAGTGAATATTGTGAAGCGTTGTGTTCAAAAAAAGGTATAAATAATTACCTAGCCAATTAGACGAACCAGATAATTAGCGATTTAATATATTCAGATATAAACATATTTAGAATTAAGTTACGTTAAAATGCCTTATTAACAATTAAAATTCGGAATTAATTAAAAAGTAATAAAATTCATTCTCTACATCTAATTGATATAAATCAATCCAATTATTATAAGTAGTTGACCGAATACCCAATTAAGTATTACCCATATACAAGTCCTCACACTAGTAGACTCATACCTTGCTACGAATCGTGGAATCTATGACCAAATGTAAAATATCTAGACTGTTTCAAATAAGAAATATGCATGCTCGGTAAAATTTTTCTTTTATCGATGTAGTAGACTATACCACGACTATTATAGGTTTTAAAATTGGTGGAATGTAAGAGACCCGGTTCTCGCATACGGCAGTTTACGGTTCTCAGCTTCAAAGATGTTTCGTTACTAAACCGACACACGAATATTAACCAATTAGGTTATAGCTTTTTTTTTTCTGATCGTCCCTTCTCATATTCTTGGTCATTTTAATATTTTTTCACACCCTTCTTAATATCTTTCGCTTCATATTTTCGAAGGTATCATAGTCTGGTGATTGTTAGAAGACATAAGTCGGGGTAGTTTGTTTTTACTAAGTACTTTTGCGAATTTTTGTCACCGGGTTGGCAAAGACCATATAAGCATTCCGTCTCCTAAAATATTTTAAATCTTCTATGATTTATTATTTAAACAATAGCCTGTTGCAATCCTAAAAAAACTAATGAATCATGGTCAGAGGGATTACTGGAAGGTCTCTTCTCATATTCTTGGTCACTTTAATATTTCTTTACACTCTTCTTAATATCTTTTGCTTCATATCTTCGAAGTATCGTAGTCCGGTGACTTTTAAAAAGACATAAGCACCTTGACTCCTAAATATTTCAAAATTTCCCATGATTTTATTTGAAATGATAGCCTATTGTCATTTTTGCAAATAACAAGTCATGGATCAGAGGTTCTTTCTTATATTCTTGGTTGCAAATGAATTAAATAAATAAGATTGGCCATTTTAATTCAGCACCAACAATCATAAATTACATATATGGGCCCTGTTTAAAACTCGACAGGTTAGCTGGCATTGACTAATTTTTGAAAATTTGACCCTGTTAAAAAGTTAATAGGATTGAAATTATCAGGGTTGTC